ATTTCCTCCGCACAGGTTCCATCCAGTGAATATCACCAGCCTGACGCCTCATCACCTCCCGAACTATGAGAACACCGCCGTCTTCTACGCGTCCGGCTTCCAGTATCTCATCCTTGCCGTCGTCCTTTCTAAGGGATATCCCTTCCGGAAGCCTCTGTACACCAACCGTGAGTGCCCCCCCGGGCCCCCCAAGTGTCAGTGTGTCATTGTCCCGGGCCCCCCAAGTGTCAGTGTGGCATTGTTCTGGGCCCCCCAAGTGTCAGTGTGTCATTGTTCTGGGACCCCCCAGGTGTCAGTGTGTCATTGTTCTGGGGCCCCCAAGTGTCAGTGTGTCATTGTTCTGGGCCCCCCAAGTGTCAGTGTGTCATTGTTCTGGGACCCCCAAGTGTCAGTAGGTGTCTCTGGGATGTGTAACGATGTAACATGTTGTCACTCTGTGTTCTGCTTCTCCCGCACAGTTCTGTTCCTCTTGGCGCTGGTCGTCCTGCTTGCGATGATGTTGTGGGTCACACTTTTCCCGCTTTCCTTCATGCTGAAGATTCTGAACCTCATGGCCATCGACGATATGAACTTCAAGCTGGTCCTGTTTGGAATCGCCGCGGTCAACTGCGTGGCCGCCTTCCTCCTGGAGGTACGTCTGCCGGTGCCGGGGTCACCTCCTCACTAGTCTCATAGCGGGAAGAATGCCGGAGAGGCCGGGAGCTGGGTGGGCCTAGACTTGTCCCAAGAGCTTATAGTCTCTTGTATGTGATATAGAAATATATTAATTAGTGTTTTATCCATGCGGTGATTGCAGATCCAACAACTTGTGTTACTTCACCCGACTCCACAATGTGGACACAACTTCCAGTAGAGGTGTAAGGTCACAGGGGGCTGCAGTACCAGGAGTGGCCACTGGAGGTGATAGAGTCACTATGTGCCGCCTTCCGGTCATGGACGTCTATCATTGTATAGTACCCCAGGGCAGCATTCATATATATACCCCAGGGCAGCATTCATATATATACCCCAGGGCAGCATTCATATATATATACCCCAGGGCAGCATTCATATATATACCCCAGGGCAGCATTCATATATATACCCCAGGGCAACATTCATATATATACCCCAGGGCAGCATTTATATATATATACCCCAGGGCAGCATTCATATATATACCCCAGGGCAGCATTTATATATATACCCCAGGGCAGCATTCATATATATATACCTCAGGGCAGCATTCATATATATACCCCAGGGCAGCATTCATATATATATATACCTCAGGGCAGCATTCATATATATATACCTCAGGGCAGCATTCATATATATACCCCAGGGCGGCATTCATATATATATACCCCAGGGCAGCATTCATGTATACCCCAGGGCAGCATTCATGTATACCCCAGGGCAGCATTCATGTATACCCCAGGGCAGCATTCATATATATACCCCAGGGCAGCATTCATGTATACCCCAGGGCAGCATTCATGTATACCCCAGGGCAGCATTCATGTATACACCAGGGCAGCATTCATATATATACCCCAGGGCAGCATTCATATATATATACCCCAGGGCAGCATTCATGTATACCCCAGGGCAGCATTCATGTATACCCCAGGGCAGCATTCATGTATACACCAGGGCAGCATTCATATATATACCCCAGGGCGGCATTCATATATATATACCCCAGGGCAGCATTCATGTATACCCCAGGGCAGCATTCATGTATACCCCAGGGCAGCATTCATATATACAATACGGCCATTGAGTCCTCTGTCCAGTCCGTTAGTACAGTCTCCGCCCCTCAGACCCCGATGAGGGGGGTATTTATCGCCCGCATGGAGCAAGTGTCTGATATGTAATCGGTGACCCCCCTTCACTCTCTTGCAGACCTCTCTGGATCACGGCTATTGCAACTTCTTGCGGAAAGTGCGCAGAAAGAAGGAATCGAAGAAGTTGTACAAGAGATTAGAGGTGCAGCTCCGGGCAGAGCACTCCTGGCCCCCCGTAAATCAGACTTTGTACCCCAGCCGGGCCAAACCGTTCAGGTAGCAGCCTATCTGCTGACCCG